GGGATGGACACTGGGAGGAGGTAACTATGGGGAGGAAGTGGGAGGGGAGCTGCTGCATTGTAAATTTTGGTCAATGACATGAGACAGTATATGTGAACTGCTGTATGAAAAGTGAATTTACTCTGTAAATTTTCACCCAAATTCTAATAAAAAAATAAATAAATAAAACACAAGTAAACATCTTTCTGGTATTCTTTGCTTTCAGCCAAAATCTACCTGACATTAGCTATGATATCCCTTACACCATGTCCCCTTCTAGTTAGCAGCCAGATGCCTTATCCACTATGCCACCACAGCTCCCCCATGTCCCCTTCTGAATCCAGCTTGCATTTCTGGAAGTTCTCTGTCTATATATTGTTGCAATTGGTTTTGAATTATCTTCAATAAGATTTTACTTGCATGTGATATCAACGATACTGTTTGATAATTTCCACATTGTTTGGGATCACCTTTCTTTGGAATGGGTACAAATATGGATCTCTTCCAGTCACTTGGCCAGGTAGCTGTCTCCCAAATCTGTTGGCATAGCAAATGAGTGCTTCCAGCACAGCATGTTTGTTGAAACATCTCAGTGGGTATTCTGTCAGTTCCCAGAGCCTTGTTTTTTGCCAATTCCATCAGTGCAGCTTTGACTTCTTCTTTCAGTACTATTGGTTCTTGAACATATGCCACCTCCTGAAATGGATGATCATCTATCAATTCTTTTTGGTATAGTAACTCTGTGTATTCCATCCATTGTCTTGTGACATTTCCTGCATCATTCAACATATTGCCCATGGAATTTTTCAATATTGTAATTTGAGGCTTACATTTTTTTCTGAGTTCTTTCAGCTTGAGAAATGCTGAGTGTGTTCTTCCCTTTTAGTTTTGCAACTCGAGGTCTTCACACATTTTTTTATAATAATTGACTTTGTCTTCTTGAGCTGCTCTTTGAAATCTTCTCTTCAGCTCGTTTATCCTGTTAATTCTTCCATCCACTTTAGCTACTCTCCGTTCAAGGGGGAAGTTTCAGTCTCTTCTGACATCCATTTTGGTCTTTTCTTCCTTTCCTGTCTTTTTAGTGACCCCGTGCTTTCATAGATGATGTTCCTGATGTCATCCCACAATTCCTCTGGTTTTCAGTCACTAGTGTTCAACGCATCAAATCTATTCTTTAGATGGTGCAGTGTAGTAAACTACATAGTGTGGCTTTTCTAGCCATAAATCTTTGTAAACTTCATGGCAGAATTTGCCATGAGCAACTGAGTAGCTCCTGATTGTTAAAGTTATCCACCTGGGGTATTTCTGTTGAGAGCAGTGCAAAGTAATCTTCTGGGAAGTTCACTCTCTCTCAGGTGTACAGAATTCAAATGTTGGGATTGGTTAGTTTGGTCTCTCTACCAGGCTCAAAAGAAGCCCTCCTAGAGGCAGAAGGAATCTCTCACTGCCAGCTGAGAGATGCACTGCTGAGAGAAACACATTTGCTGAGAGAGAGATGCAAGAGACAAGTGCTGAGACAGAGATACAAGAGACACATGCTGCTGAGAGAGAGAGGAAAAAAAAAAACACTGAGAGACACACACTGCTGAGAGAGCAAGAGACACACTGCTGGGGGAGAGACTAAGAGAGACTGTCAGCTGATAGAGACTAAGCATGTTCCTGAACTTGAACTGTAGCCTATTGCTTCCCTAATAAACCCCATAATCTGTGAGTTCTGTGCGGCCACTGCAGCGAATTACTGAATACAGCAGAGAAGTGGTGGGTGCTATGGGAGGAACAGTTGGTGTCAGGGTAGGTGAAAGGGCTGGAGGGAGGCACCATGTCTGGCCTCCCAGGAATAGGTTTTGGGCTACTAATGGTGATTCCATCTTCCTCTTATGGAGTTAGAGGAGGTCAGAAGATGCCACCTCCTTGCCCCTTTGGCAGATGATCTCTAAATTCAGGAGGGATATACTCAAGGTCATATTTTGGCTCTCATGGACTTCTTTTAATTGTCTTCAACTTCAACTTGAACTTGCATATGAGAAGTTGATGGTCTGTTCCAGTTAGCTCCTGGCTTTGTTTTGGCTGAAGACATTGAGCTTCTCCATTGCCTCTTGCCACATATGTAGTCAATCTGATTCCTGTGTACTACATCTGGTGAAGTCCATATGTATAGCCACCATTTGTGTTGTTGAAAAAAGGTATTAGTAATGAATAAGTCATTGGTCTTGCAGCATTATTTCTATCACGAAGGCCAAATTTTCCAAGTGCCAATGATTTTTCTTTGTTTCCAACTTTTGCATTCCAATCACCAGTGGCAATCAACACATCATGATTACATGTTCGATCAATTTCAGACTGCAGAAGTTGGTAAAAATCTTAAATTTCCTCATCTTTTGCTTTGGTGATTGGTGCATAAATTTGAATAACAGTAGTATTAACTGGTCTTCCTTGGAGGCATATGGATATTATCTTATCACTCACTGACAGCATTGTACTTCAGGATACTTCACCATACTCAATATGTATGCTAAGCAAATAATCCAAGAAAATGGATTACATGAAGAAGAACGTGGCATCAAGATTGTAAGAGAACTCATTAACAACCTGTGATAGGCAGATGACACAACTTTGGTTGCTGAAAGTGAAGATGACTTGAAGCCCTTACTGATGAAGATTAAAGACTATAGTCTGCAATATGGATTACCCGTCAATATAAAGAAAACAAAAATCTTCACAACTGGATCAATACACAGTATCACAATAAATGGAGAAAAGATTGACATTGTCAAAGACTTCATATTACTTGGTTCTACAATCAACACCAATGGAAGCAGTAGTCAAGATATAAGACAACACATAGCACTGGGAAAATTGGCTGCAAAAGACCTCTTTCAAGTGCTGAAGAGTGCAGCTATCTCCTTGAAGGCTAAAGTGTGCCTGACCAAGCCATGGTATTTTTATTGCCTCATAAGCATGTGAAAGCTGACAATGAGTAAGGAAGACAGCAGAAGAGCCAATGCTTTTGAGTTTGGGTGTTGGCAAAGAATGCAGAAAGTACCATGGACTGCTAAAAGAACTAACAAATCTGTCCTGGAAGAAATGCAGCCAGAATGCTCCTTAGAAGCAAGAATGGCCAGACTTCATCTCACCTACTTTGGTCATGTTGTCAGAAGGAACCATTCACTGGACAAGGATGTCATGCTTGCTAAAGTGGAGGGTCAACGAAAAAGGGGAAGGCCCTCAACAAGATGGATGGATACAGTGGCTGCAACAATGGGCTCAGGTATAGCAAGGATCATGAGGCTGGCACAGGACTGCGCAATGTTTCGTTCTGCTGTGTGTAAGGTCGCTGCAGTGTAGTAAATTACTTAGTGTGGCTTTTCTACCCATAAGTCATTGTAAACTCAGTGGTGGAATGAGCAACTGAGGAGCTCCTGATTGTAAATGTTATCCACCTGGGTTATTTATGTTGGGCATGGCACAATGCAATGTTATGGGAGGCTCACTCTCAGGTGCTTAGAATTCTGTTGTTATGATTGGTTGGTTTGGCCACTCTGCGAAGCTCAAAAGGAGGCCTCCTCGAGGCAGAACTCTCTCTGACTGCTGGTTGAGGAAGATGTGCTGCTGAAAGAGACATGTACTCCTGAAAGAGACACATGCTGCTGGGAAAGAGACACAAGAAACACGCATTGCTGAGTAAGACACCAAGGGACATGCACTGCTGGGGGAGAGACTGTGAGAGACTTGGCTGAGAGACAGTGGGCTGAGAGAGAGACTGAGCATTTTTTCCTGAACCTGAATTGTAGCCTGGTGCTTCCCTAATAAACCCCGTAATCTGTGAGTTCTGTGTGGCCACTGCAGCGAATTATCAAACCCAGGAGAGAGGTGGTGGGTGCTTTGGGAGGAACAGTTGGAGAAAGGGCTGGAGGGAGGCAGCATGTCTGGCCTGGCAGGAATAGGCCTTGGGCTATTGATGGTGATTCTGTCTTCCTCTTGTGGGATTACAGGAGGTCAAAACATGTGGCCTCCTTGTCCTTTTTGTAGTCGCTATGAGTCAGAGACAACCTGACAGCACCTAACAACAATAACAACAACATGTACCCAGCAAGTAGAAATGTCAAGGAGGTGGTTGGATGCATAAGTCTGAGCTCAGTGAGATGAAAGCTGGAGATATAAAGCTAGAGGTAATCATCACATGGGTGGTATTGAAGCCAAGTCCACAAGAATTCACTCAGTAGCTCAGAGTGAAAAGAAGTGGGCTCATGGTAGAGCCTTAACATTCTGAATGCCTGCCAAGGACATAGAGACAGTGAGGGAAGAACAATGAAGTGGGAAGAAGGCTAGAATGTCAATGTTTCCATAAGTTCACTGTGGCGCTCTCAGTGCATATAGCAGTCCCTCTTGAAATACTTGCTGAATGCATGAGAAAGAAAGGAGAAAGGGAGTGGCTAACTGTACTAGATACTGCAGAAAAACGCAGTCAGAGGAGCCAAGAAGAAGCCCACAAGGTTAAGCAGCAGGGGAAACATCTCTGGTGTTGAGAAGAGCAGTGTCTCTGGAGTGTTGGGAACAAAGCCAGGACACTCCCATTAGGATGGAAATCAAGATGACCATGGAATGTCAATTTAATCACAATTCCACAAGGACTCACAATCTTCCCACAGCAGCTCCTGGTAACAAGGGCACTTTCCTTGCTGTCAAGCCTCACTGAGGTTTTTACATCAATGATTCTTTAAGGGTAAGAGGGGCCAGGTCAGCAAATCCATACCTGCAGGGGTCTCAGTGCCCAGAGCTGGCCACTTAACTGTTGGCATCGTTTGAGGGCACTCACCTAATTCCAAGCCCTGCCTTGTGAGGACCATTGAGTCTGTGATTCCTACCTGCTTTCCCGTCTACCTGTTCTCATAACCTAGATACCACACCTGTGCTTTCATCCTTCTCTGCTGCCCCCCGGAGGTACACAGCAAGGGTTCCCAAACTTTTGAACCCTTTTATGATCAGCTGAAAAATACCGACCACACAACGTGGACTTACCAGGAACAGTTAGAACAGAGGGGGATTTTTCAGGTCGGTCATTAACACGGCTGCTATTTTGAATCCAGAAAATATTGACTGGCTCAGGTGGGCCTATGGCCTGACACGTGAGGTTGAAGGCTGTGTTTCTGGTGACATTCATGCTTTCTGGCTGCCTTGTAAAGTGAGGAAGTCCTGCAGAGAAAGAAATAAGGGAAAGAATGTTTCAGAACAAAAGCAAAGGTATAGCCCAAGGGGAGTGGAAACTGTACTTTAACTTTGCAATAGGAGACTTATGTATCACCTCAGGTCTGAATGACCAGGTTTTACCTACTTAAAGTTGAGCAAGAAAAGATACAGAGGCTAATTCCTACCAGTCTAGCTCAAGCTGTCTTTCCAGGATGTTTTTCCAAAAGGGGGTATAAATAGTGAGAACTGGTTTTACCAGAAGGGAAGCCAGGTAGTTCCTATGCCAGGGGTTGCTCAAATGTGTAGCACAGACTGACAGGTTTTCAGTATTCCTTACTGAAGTAAGCGCAGATTAAAATAAACCTATGTAATAGGTCAGCTCATGTTTAAGGGCAATCTACTGTCTCTAAGACTTTCAGGCAGGTGATAATAAACACATTCACCGCTAACTGAAAGGGTGGAGGTTCAAGTCTACCCAGAGGTGTTTCAGAAGAAAAGCCTGGTGATCTACCTCCAAAAATTAGCCATTCAAAACTCTGTGGAACACAGTTCTACTCTGAGACACATGGGGTCACTATGGGTTGAAGTTGATCCAACAGTAAGTAACCAGTTAAACAGTTGTACACAGGTGAACATTTTCAAAGCCCATTCTCATTATAATAGTATAGACTTGGTATTACACTGTTACAACCCTAAGATGTCCTCTGACTATAATTCCATGATGAGAAAAGCGTGGAATAATAAGCAAGGAACAATTTGGCCAGGTGAGATGTCAGCACTGAGCACATGGATAATAATGTGCATTTTGTTCCCTAAAAAAAAATTTTCAGTTTTTTTTACTGTAAATAACTTGAGGACAAGGAAGTCCACAATCTCCTTTTTTTCTTATGTCTAGGCCTAGAATTACTTGCTCAGCACATAGACTGAATAAGTATTTCTTACCCTTAGCGAGCTCTGGTAGCATAGTGCCTAAGGCACTTGACTGCTAACCAGAAGGCTGGCCATTCAAACCCACCAGCCACTCCTTGGAAGGAAGGTTGGGCAATCTACTTCCATAGTGATAATGCCTCAGAAACCCAAGGAGAGGTCGCTATGAGTCGGTCCGACTTGAGGGCACATAACAACAACAACAACCCTTAAGGAGTAAGTGACGGCACATAACAACAACAACAACCCTTAAGGAATAAGTGAAAGGATACACAACCCTGACACACATCTTTCCTGATTTTAAACCATATAATATCCCCTTGTTCTATTTGAATAACTGCCTCTTGGTTTATGTATAGGCTCCACATGAGCACAATTAAGTATTCTAGAATTCTTATTCTTTGCAATGTTATCCTTAATTTATTAGAATCCACACAGTCTATTGTCTTTGTATGGTCAATAAAACACAGGTAAACATCTCTCTGGTATAATTTACTTTTAGCCAAGATCATTAGCAATATCCCTCGTTCCACGTCCTCTTCTGAATCACCTTGAATTTCAATTTCAAGAAATCAAAAGACATATTGCACTGGGCAAATCTGCTTCAAAAGACCTTTTTAAAGTGTTAAAAAGCAAAGATGTCACTTTGAGGCCTAAGGTGTGCCTGAACCAAGCCATGGTATTTTCAATAGCCTCATATGGATATGAAAGCTGGCTAATGAATAAGGAAGACCAAAGAAGAATTGAAGCCTTTGAATTATGGTGTTGGTACAAAATATTGAAAATACCATGGACTGACAGAAGGAAGAACAAAGCTGTCTTGGAGGAAGTACAGCCAGAATGCTCCTTAGAAGTGAGGATGGTGAGACTTTCTCTCTCATACTTTTGACATGTTATCAGGAGGGAGCAGTCCCTGGAGAACATCAAGCTTGGTAGGGTAGAGGTCCAGTTAAAAAGAGGAAGACCCTCAACAAGATGGACTGACGCAGTGGCTACAACAATGGGCTTAAACATGACAATGATTGTGAGGATGGCACAGGACTAGACAGTGTTTTGTTTTGTTGTACATAGGATCAGTATGAGTTGGAACCAACTTGATGGCACTAACAACAACAACAGGCCTAGGATACACCCGAGACTTTTAGATATAAATTCATTGCATTATTGCTTATTTTCAAGGTGGTCCTCTTTTTTTTATTATTATTTTAGGCAATAATGTTGTTGTTGTTGTTAAGTGCCATCGAGTCGTTAGGGTGGAGGGTCGATGAAAGAGGGGGAGGCCTTCAACGAGATGGATTGATACGGTCTTCAATGATGGGCTCAACTATAGCAGGGATTGTGGGGCTGATGTGGGATCAGGCAGTGTTTTGTTCTGCTGTGCATGGAGTCGCTATGAGTCGGAAACGACTCGACGGCACTTAACAACAACAACAACAACATTATTGCCTAAAATAATAATAAAAAAAAGAGGACCACCTTGAAAATTTCAGTGATGATTGGTTTGTGACGTTTGCAGACAGAGTTCTAAATGGGCAGGCCAAACTCCAGATGATTCTACAAAAAGGAATTCATACAGGCTCTAATATAAATAGCCTTGTGGCAGCCCGACACCCTGTGGCCCCTGGACTTACCCTGCACCTCGATGTAGATGGGATCTGACACAATCTCTTCATTGTTTATTTTCATCTTACAGATATACGATCCATTGTCAGTACGCTGCACATTGGTTATGCTTCAAAGAAAAACATATGAAGACGGTTATCTTTTGGATTAGTGACCACCTTTTGAATTCCTACTATGGAAATACAAAATTCTTCAACTTCTTTGTTGCAGGCTGTCACCTGTCTTAACTTCCATCTGAGATGCCATACCAGTACTTCTCTATTTTGGGATACTGCCTCTTCAAAGCATCTTGGAAATGTGTTTTTGGTGGTCACGATGACAGCAAATACCATGGCTTTTACAGGCCAGGGTCCACTGTTCCACATTCCAAATGATTTTCTAAGACTAGAACCCAACTCTGTTTTACATATACACAACATACTCTGCATTTTGCAATATCACTTAATTTTCCAAGAAAGAGCCCTGGTGGCACAATGGTTAATGCTCAGCTGCTAAATGAAATGTTAGCAGTTTGTATCCACTGTGAGAGAAAGACCTGGCCATTTGCTTCCATCAAGACTACAGCCAAGAAAACCTTATGGGGCAGTTCTACTCTGTCACATGGGGTCACCATGAATTAAAATTGACTTGATGGGCACCCAATAACAAGATTTTCTGAGACTACAACTACTAGGAAAATGGAGGGCCAGTATTCCTTTGTTCTGTGTGGAACTTTCCCATGATCCAGTCATCATTTTGGAAGACGGATCACTGACAGTATCACTGCTTTCACAACTGCCATGTGCATGAAGATTCCCCAGGGTGCCAACCCCAGAGTTCTTCATTATCTCTGCTGGTGATGTGTGGTAATGCCCAGCATTTACATCTTGAAATTCACATTATTTTATTATAAGCCATGTTTCTCGTGTTTTCCTCATATTATAGTTAAAACATTGTATTATAAACTATTTGATATAAAAAGATGGCCTTGCCTCTAAGTCAAGACCCTGCTTTCCAAGCATAACCTTAATACCAAAACCAGGAAAAGACATCACCCAAAAGGAAAACTACAGACCAATATCCCTCATGAATATAGATGCAAAAATCTTCAACA